CAATTTTTTTTGCTCTCCGTAGATATAAAACGTCTCACTTTAAATTTTCTTTTCGAGAATTTTACAAATTGATATAAATCTAACATACTTCTTCATCAATACTACTGGTACATCAGATACAGTTTTGAGCTTCAATTAAAAGATATACAAATTAAGATATGATACTGCACAGCTTCATTTCTCCTTGGCAGGTGCCAATCCAACCCAAACTCTTTCGCCCTCTTCATCCATTTTGCATTTCAGAGCATTCTCAGACCAAACAAATTTGATCCAGCAAGGAGTATCTTTGTAAAATCGGCAATGTAGGAAGAACAAAGGAGTGCAGGTATGTAGTTTCATTTGCGTTTGCGACATACAGTTGGTTTTTTCTTCTTTGAGGCTGGTGCTGCGAATAAGAAAGAGACAAACCCGTCAGTGAGTTGTTAAAGACAACTGACACAACGTTCGCCACTTATAATACTTTGAACATATGGTAGATGGTTTTCAACTTATTGTATTCAGGGGGGCGGTGTGTCTTCCTTCAGAGTTACCAAATATCTTTTTGCGAACTTCAACCTTGATTTCAAGTTTGTCTCCTTGATGGCTAGGCTTGTAATGTATATTTATAGTTTTGATGTTAATATGGTAATTATATAACATATTATATACATTACGTTCTTTGTCAACAGCTTGCGACCCAAGTAGGCGACTGATTGGGACAACCTCGGTTGTGTCGCATATAATTTCTTCTCTTCTTCATAATAAAGATCCGATACAGTATGGCAACCATCGTCGCCATCGAAGCTTGTAAAATCCAGAATGTTGCAATACAACAGACTGTGATACATTCGACATTTAGAGACACAATATCTTTTCACAAGCTGGCACCCATTTACTTTTGCAAATGCAACTCTTCAATGTGCTTGGGTTTTCCTCACGATTCCTTGACGTTGGTGTGCAAGATTAAAGGTTAAATATTTATGGGGTCTTCAGCGAAGGGGTCCTAACGCCCATCATTGAGTAAGGCGCATTGAATATGCCTATTAGTACAAGACTTACTTCCAAATGGCTTTCTTGAGGTGGCACGTACGCATTGCCTTCCTTCACAAGCAGATCTGTTTCTGACTGGCGTATCTTGTTGAACGTCAGGAACTAGAGGAAACGTGTCATGGTCTTATGCTTTCTATCAAGCTGTTAATAGCAATACTTACTCTCTTTACAGTGTTACTGATCATAACCCAATCGATATTGTTCTTGTTGTTTCTAAACTTCTATCATGAGATACTTATTGATAGCTGTACTATTTTCAACCATGTTTACTTACGAGATTTAGTTGTTCAGCCTCATTTTGAAAATGTTCGGATACACCTCTTTGTCGAGAACTTGATTTCAGAAGAGGGTTTATTCAATAGAAAGCAATTATCTTGAAGTACGTGAGAATAAGATATATAAGATAATCTGCAACTAGCAAGAATGGATGAGAGTCTAATTATTCATCCAGGCAAAGCTAAATCATGATTAGCTTGCTGGAGTTGTCTTTTAGCATGATTAGACATTAGTTGATCTGAGTTGACTTATTTGTCAATCTAATTAATAGAACTTTTATCCATTGTTATAGTATATAAGTAGGATCATCTACCTGGCCAGTAGAGAGACTTCAGTTTACTTTACACCTGTCAGTTTGATAATAAAATATACCTTTATCAAGTTGACATTACTGTTTTTTTTTTATTCTTTTTTTCCGTGAATTTTAGTCTATAAAGCCTCAAATTCCACAGCAGCATCTACTCAAAATTAGCTATTTTCTAAAATCACCCTTTTCTCAACAACCATGCTACCAATGCAAATTTCAATTGCACCATCGTTTAAAGGGCAAGAGCGGGGCTCAAATTGACCAAAACTCCGGTGTCGAAATTTGAAAAGTCGCAACCCTACTTCTAATTATGGAATTTCTTGTTATCCTGTATTCTGGTAATTATAAGAACCAATTTTCATTTAATACGAAAGAAAAGAGAAACATATGATAATAATGCAACAACTCCAGCTTTCGGCATTTTGGCATTTTGGCATTTCATTACTTTGAAGATGAGATAAACTATATTATTAGATTTCCATCAGAAAATATCCAAATGTAAATTTCATCTTTTTTGAGCCAAGCTATTATCCAAGATAAGTAACACTGTATAATAACTGCAGTTGCTGCATACTAATTGCAAGAGTGGCATACTCTAAAGAAAGAAGAGGCGACAAATACTGAAGTATATACCAAAGGTATGCAATGCGTTGTAACATAAATAGAGCCTTGAAACATACATGTTCAATAATGAAAGCTATCGCATGCGCATGGCTCACAAATTGTATTCTAGAATACCGGTCTTGATTCACCAGATAAGTGGCTAAATAAATCAGCAATACGCTACTAGATAACGGAATTATTGGCGAATTCTAATTAAACAGTTGCTTGACAAAAAATATAAAACAAACAATATATGTAGATAGAGACGTAGAATACAAATTTATTGGACACTATCCTAATTATGAATAAAGAGAGGTTAAGAGTATTTCTATCTGCTTGTTGCCTTAGCTCCTATTTCACTGTTACAATGAATAATTGATTTCGGTTCGTTGGCGTCAATCCTTCTTATAGTATGCAGTTCTTTGTTTTTACCTTTTTTCTTCTCGTCAAATTGGTTCTGGTGCTTTTCACTTCGTTGGTGCTGTTGCTTCATTGGGTTGTCTTTGGTGCTGCTTTGCTTGCCTAGTTATCTTCCAGAACTGTTTAGCTTGCCTGATATGTCGCTTCTGCTGTTGCTTGCTCGTTTACCTCCTATTCTTAAAGACTGCACTGAAAATCTCAAATCTACTGAAGTGACATTTTCAAAATTCTTTGAAACACAAACTCAATCTTTCACACTATACTACCAATCTCAGATTAGTGCTACCACATGGCAAGATTTAAGACAGCACTGGAAAGATAAATTGACAAGACTGGCCTGCAGTCAAATAATCAATACGTATTGAATATAATGGCTCTTGACAAAAATCCACTTCAAGGATTATAACAAGGATTACAAGATGGACTGGAAAATAGACCGCAACAAATGAAGTATAGAAGCCGCAACACCAGAGAGGGATCAGAAAATAAACCGCCAAAAAGGGCCTTCTGGAAATATATGCAATGCACGTACATGATATCAAATTTGACTGTATGTTTATAGGAAAAAAAGCCAGAGGAATTATGCACAGGCTGTCAGCTCTATTTCCAAAAATTTTAGTAGTGTCTTTAGTGATGAGTATATGAAGCTAGGGATCATCATTGTGAAATGCACCACCGAAGAACCCAATGTTACAATCAAAGACAAGGAAGAGTAAGTAACATATAGTAATATTCCACCACAATGATCCAATGGTTTACTTTTCATAAATTATAGCAGGATTCATAGCAATATTATTGATTTTATTTCAAAATTGGATGATAATGGCACCCATATTACTCTCAAAGATCGGTACCAATACTTCAAGGAAAAATACGAGCATCCTAAAGCCTTAAACAAAAAGATAGCTGCTACTACAAACGCGATGCTTAATACCAATTGAGTGTACGTAGCAAGCCATGTAGATACTTATTTTTAATGCAAGAGGTATTAAGAAGAGGATCTTCTACTACTGTCAAGGGGCTGAAAGCGAAGGACTATAGCGCACACTCCACAGAGGCTCAAATACTCAAATTCTTAAAAATTTGTTGTTTTGTCATCTTGGCCCATTCTAATGCTAATTATATTTTTGTCGTAATCACATGTTTGAAGATACAGGCTACGAGAAATTGATTTCTTATTCACATTTGTCAGACTTATGATCAAGTGTTAAGCAAGCTACTGATATAAAGATTAACAGGCTTGGTACGGACCACCTTGAAAAAACTCATATGTATTACCTATTGACCTCATACCTATGGCACTTGAGGGTAATATTAGGTGTATTGATTTGTATGACAGAATATGACAGCCTGAACAACTGCATTGTATTATCTGATTTTGATACGACTTCCGAAGCCTCACCTAAAAAGAAGCAAGAGCAAAAGCTGATTCTGCTGCCCCTCATGATTGCTTGGATGGGAAGGGATGGTGGACTTTCTCCTACGCATAAAGAATTATCATTGATGCTATGCTTGTATTAACCTTTGTATCCAATCTCAAAACTTTACATTGATTTGCTAAGATAGTAATTGACATGTCAAAGGCTCGTCGCTTTTGGAATATGTGAATTGTGTGGTTTTCGAAGCAGCATAAGCAAGTGCTTATTACAATGACACAGTTGAAGCTAGTAGCTCCATTACGAGCTGAAACAACAATAAGCTTTGTCGGTAAAGAGTTACATTCACTTTTATAGTTGCATAAAACGTATACCGTTTGTGATAGATGCTACAAGCAATTTATTTTGTGAAAGTAGCGCCAATTTTAGAAGGAATCCATGCAAAAAAATTGAATTAAGCAAAAATATACACTGTTCCATTCAAAACGATCAGTAACAAGGGGCATCAACAGATGTTGAACGATTCAAATGCAGTAGACATGTAACACTTTCATGGGCTATCTCAAGCATCGAAAGAATAAGCCTGCATCAAATGAGCCCGCAGCAGTGCTTCGAACGTGATGGGCATTTAGAATGAATACAACAGTTTGAATGATTCTTGTCAGGCTGCTTATCTTTGAGTTTGTAATAGCAATTTATAGTGACGTAGGCTACTCAAAAAAATGGATCGACTGAATTCTTACATGATGGCTTACTAATGGTGTAATCTACTAGATAATGGATGTTGAAAAAGCACTCACGTACTCAACAAATCGAGTAGAAAAGACTTGCTCATCATTTTGAAGTGTGCTATCCAGTATAGAGCCGTTGAATCACTGAAAATCGGATGGTGATCGTCTTACCTAATTTGGTATATTTATCAGGTTGATTAAAAACCGCTTTTCATTCCCTTTTCTTCTTGTTTTTTTCAGCAATATTCTACATAAAATATGAGTGGTCATGGAAGAAATTCCTCTGTTCATATTGAAGAAGAGCTGGCACAGATCAGAAGATACGAAGACTTTTCTACGACTGGTAAAACAAGATCCAACAAACGCGAAGACCATTTCATTCCTTGCATAAAACACTGACATTTGATTTTTATCCAAGATTGGGTTAGAGACGCCATCCTTGAAAGATACAGACAATCCTCTGTGCAAAACTTGAATGTCAACGACAATTCATGGCGTGCCTGGTGGCATTTGACATTTGAATCTACGGAATCTTGGATTGTTGTATTGCTCGTTGGTAACATGCGAAACAGACAATATTTTCTTCAGATGCATTGGCTGATGTTTTCTACACTTAGGTGCGGCTATTGGACTCATGTCAGCACTGATTGCCATCGTAACAGACTGGTTGTCTGACATAAAATTGGGCTATTGTTCAAGTGCTTGGTGGCTGAATCAAAAGTTTTGCTGTTGGGAAATGGAGGACGGTAAATCACAGGCAGAAATGATGGACACTGGCCTACAATATTGAAGATTTTCATAGGAAGTGGCTCTTGCAACGATTGGACCACATGGAGTGAGTTTGTACATTTAGGGCCTGATGTCTATATCATCAAATGGTTGTTTTATGTGATGTGGGCAGTAAGTACCTGGAATTCAAGTCTCAGCGCAAAAGTATTTACAGTTACTAGACCTTGTTTGCCACAACCTGTGCTTATCTGGTCAAGAGATATGCACCCTATGCTGCTGGATCCGGTATTTCAGAAATCAAGTGTATCATTGGTAAGCGCACATACGATAATACCAATACACGAATCGAGGATTGACACACATGACGGCAGCTGGATTTGTGATGAAGGGATTCTTAGGCGGATGGACATTAGTGATGAAGAGTATCGGCTTGGTAAATGACAAATGGAGATCAAGGATTGTATGTGTAATCTTTGGCTAAGGCTATACATTAGACAATGGCTGTGGCTTCGAATTTGTCTATTGGTAAAGAGGGCCCTTCAGTGCACATGGCATGCTGTGTAGGAAATGTGATTTCTCGTTGCTTCAAAAAATTCAAGACGAGTAAAGCTGAAATGAGAGAGATACTTACAGCATCCAGTGCTGCAGGCGTTGCAGTTGCATTTGGCTCGCCCATTGGAGGTGTGCTATTTGCATTGGAAGAAATGAGCACGCATTTTCCCAACAGAACCATGTGGAAGAGTTTCTTTTGTGCCATGATTGCCACTATTGTACTCCAGGTATGAGCATCAACACCCGTTGCTTCTGTCAAATAATTGATGGTTATTATCGTAGGCGATGAATCCCTTTAGAACGGGTAAATTAGTCATGTTTCAAGTGAGTTATGACAGAGATTGGCATTTCTTTGAGTATCTATTTGTGTTGGTGATTGGATTATTTGGTGTAAGTATGTAGATCACTGAGAGATACTCAGGCGGATATTGACCACAGCGTAGGGTTTGTACGGTGCGCTGGTTATCAAGTACAATCTGATTGTCGCTCAATTCAGAAAGAATGTACTCAAAAACTATCCCATTGCAGAGGCTGCTGTGCTCGCATTTGTAACAGCTATTCTTGCTTATCCCAATGTCTTTTTGAGGATTGACATGACTGAGATTATGGGCATCTTGTTTAGAGAATGCGAAGGTGCAGGAACCGAAAATTACTATGGTCTATGCGAGTAAGTAAACAAAGACATAGTGCTTGGCTTGTGAGATTACAGAGCATAAGCTAATGGGGATTGCCACAGCAAAAGCGAAACTGGCCGTATGGTTCTGTTGCTTTTCGTAGCCACTGCTCTTCGCTGTTTTGGCACCATCATGACCTACGGCGCTCGCGTTCCTTGCGGTATTTTTGTCCCTTCCATGGCCATTGGTGCAACTTTTGGAAGAATGATTGGTTTGCTGGTGAAATCTTGGCAAGAGTAGGTTGCTTATATTGCATAGCGAGCTGTTATTTATAGAATGGCCACATAGATCTGATCCAGAATTCTTTCTATTTACGTCCTGTCGACCTGATATGCCGGTAAGATGAGCTAAAAAGTGGATGGACTGAGATTGCATTAACCAGTGATGTGCAGTGTATTACTCCAGGAACATATGCTTTTCTCGGTGCAGCAGCTGCATTATGGTAAGATGCCAGAGAGCTCATTTGAGATGTTGCTTTATTGACTGTTTTATCATTGTAGTGGTGTCATGAGAATCACCGGTAAACCAGAGTGATGCTTGAGTATGGCTGGAATTACTAACAAGCTCTCTATAGTGTCTGTTGTGGTAATTATGTTTGAGCTGACTGGTCAGATCACGTATATTTTGCCTACTATGGTAAGAAATACATTGAAATGCAAATTATGACATGATCTAAGCCATCATGGATAGATTACTTTGATGATTACTCGTGCAGTCGGCGGATGGTTTGGATCTGGTGGCATTGCTGACCGTTATATTCGACTGAATGGATATCCCATTTTGGAAAATGATGAAAAGGTGTTCAACGTGCCAGGTAATGCTTTATGTGAAGAGGACCGGGAAGCGATTGACTGACGCAACATAGTGTCGCATGTCATGCAGGAAAACATGACAGTGATGACGGCTGCTGGTATGACATTCAGGGATATAGGTAAGGAGCGACGTGATTGTCTGGCATGACCTGACACCTCTCATTTACTTGTAATAGAGAGTATTTTGGAGAATACAAACTTTCAAGGATTTCCAGTGGTCGATGATTCTCGGTCCATGATACTCATTGGTTACATTGGTCGATCTGAACTGAGATATCTGATCGGTAAGCTAGCTCTGCCCCCCCTCCCCCCCTGCAGCATTAGACAATGATACCAACGAAATTTGATAGAAAAAGCAAAAGTCAACAAAAAGGCCCACGATGACACTATTTGTCGATTTACACCTGACGGAGATGAGCCAGAAATCCTCACTAACCTTGGTCTGGATGAAGGAGACCATATAAATGATACCAACAGAGATCTACGAGGTTCTTCAGAAGTACTGGACTTTGGCTCCTACATGGATCAAACACCAATTACAGTGCATCCAAAGCTGTACCTGGAAACTGTGATGGACATGTTCAGACAACTGGGCCCTCGTGTTGTTCTACTGGAAGAGCGAGGCAGACTGAGAGGTTTAGTGACAGTGAAGGATGTGCTCAAATACGAAGCACGCATTGATAGCTCAGAAGCAACGTCCAACATTCAATACACAAGAGAATGCGGCGGCGTGTTTGACAAATTTTCCTCTTGGCTCTCTCGAAGAGATCTGTCCAGACGACCAGCACAGCAAGAGTATACGCAACTACAAAATAGAAGTTCACTAGAGGTGAATGAATCTCATGAGCTTGATGGTAGACTTTAATAAAGATATATTTATTTGAAAAAGTGCTATAAATGTCCTGCTGTGATAAGCTGATGGTGCCTGAATACCTTATTAGAGTAGATCTAAAATTAGCCAGGAGCCATACACAGGGAGACCAGCCTTTTTCTTAATTGCTATAAAAGCTTGAGTAACCAGAATCTCTATTCTCACCCTTTCTTTCACTTGAATTATACACACAATGTTTTGGAAAAAGAAGGAAAAGAAGGAAGAATCTACCAACCCTTTTGAATCAGGTAGCCAACCATCCTCTCCTGCTCCATCGTACTCTCCTGCTCCTTCCTATACCTCGCAGCAACCATCACAAGAATATACCCCTTCTGCTGCTTCTGGTGGTAGTCGATACGGTCGTTATAACAATGGCAATGATATAGATCAAAGAAATCAACTGTTTGGTGGACAAAATGATAGTCAGGATTCATACAACAGCAGAGGCAACGACTACTCATCACGACCTCAGCAGAATGCCCGTCATCAGAGCGATTATGGTAACAGTAGAACTGGCCGGGGAGGCAATCTGTATGGCAATGGTGATGAGGATGAGGACGACGAGGATGTACAAGTGGCTGGTATGAAGCAACAAATCAAAAACATCAAGCAAGATTCCTTGGCAAGCACTCGTCTTGCGCTGCAAAAAATCAATGAAACAGAAGCCACAGCCGCCAACACCATGAACATGCTTGGCCAGCAATCATGTAAGTAAATTAGCCCTCATTCCCTCAAATGAAGCTGTGGTGTAACTCGACTCTATTTTTAGCCCAAATTGCCAATGTCAATAGACATTTAGATCTGTCCAAGGCTTACTCTGACAAGGCATCCAACCAAGCAGACGAACTGAAGCAGCTCAACCGATCTATCTTTATCCCTGTTGTGTCCAATCCATTCAGAAGAAAGGAAAAGGAGAGAAGAGAATTGGAGAGCAAGCAGAGAGATCATGCGGAACATATGGCTGAGCGCGACAATATCCGTCAATTCGAGTACGAGTCCAATGCTCGTATTCAAGAGACTGCGCGTATGAACAGCAATCAACGCACGGAGAGAAGAGGTCGCTCAGAAGCAGATCGTCGTAAATACCAGTTTGAAGAAGATTCCGAGGACGATGCGATTGAGGATGAGATTGATAACAATTTGGACTTGTTGGGTGATGCCACTTCTCGATTGAAGAACATGGCTGTGACAATGAACACAGAGCTGGATCGTCAAAACAGTGAACTGAACAAGACAATCAACAAGGTGGATCCATTGAGCAGAAAGTTGATTGCTACTACAGATAAATTAAACAGAACAAGATAATAAAGAAGAACACGTGTTAATGTCTTTTATTTGATGATGCCTCACACCTATTTCAGGTCACTAATAAAAAAAAACCTTATTTGAAAAGCGGATGGGGGGGGGGGAAGGCATTTACTACTGCCTGAGAATTTCAACCTGAAAGACGGGCTTGATTACCTTCATATCGACCAGAATACTGATAGCCACCCTAGACAATTGTTTCAAGGTCTGCTTGATCTGCTCTTCATCACCATTGTTGTTGTCTGACCAAGCAAGTTCCATTTCATGGAACACGGGATCATATTTGTGCTGTCTACCAGGCAGAGATTGATCATTGATGACTACCGAGAGCTCCAGATCGTATTCAGGCACATACAATTGCAACGAATCTGCTTTAAGCTGGGTCACAAACGAGTCGACTGTGATCTTTTTGACCTCTTCATTCAAGCACTGACGGTAAATGTAAGCTGCAGTGTACAATTTCTTGCTCTCCTGTTCAGCAGCCATCTTGAGCAAGTGTGCCGAGTTGCAATAACGAGCAATCTTGTCAACCAAATCGGTATTTTGACTGTCTTGACCCTCTCCCTTTAATGCAGCATCCAATTGTCGTTGAACACAGATCGATGCATAGTTGTGAGTGGGTTCCGTGAACACAGTGTAAATGGACGCACCAAAGCTGGTATGGCGGAATTTTGAAATGTCAACAGAGCCAGCGCTGTAGTATTTGGAGGGTGGCATGGCTTGACGGATCATGTGGACCAACGTGTCTTGCTTCTCTGTGCTAGTCTCTTGCTCTTTAACCAAGTTGAGCAAGCCCTGAATTGTGCTTGTCGATGGTATATTATCAAAGTAATCCTGGATAGTGGCCTATCAAAGACATTAGCATATATTTAAAGAGCTGAGTATGATATACCACTTACCAGTTTGGACATGTTGGTTGGCGCTTGTCTACACAGCAAGGCTTGATCTGGGAATCGAGTTGATACCTTTTGAGCCACTTCGATATTGGCCAAAATCAGCAACTCTTGAATGAGAACATCTTGTTCTGTTTGATGAATGCGTTCAATGTCTTGAGGGTAGCCGCTGTCAGCCAATGTAAACTTTTCAAACGCGTGTGCAAGACTCACGCCACCCAGTTTGTGCAGGCGATTGTGCTGTAATTTCTTGCAAAGCTTCAGTAGGGTGCTGGCATCTGTAGTCAAGTGGTTGACATCCACATGCTGCTTTGTTTTAACAACTGTTTTCCCAATCCAAGCGTGCAACAAGACACCGTTTTCTGTAAAACGACACATGACTGAATAGGCTAATCGTTGCTTGCCCACGTCAAAGCGACAGTGTGCTTTCATAAACGACTCTGGAAGAATAGGTATTTTTTTGTCTACTAGACTAACAGCACAGCATCGTTCTCGCGCCTCACGGTCCAAGGGCGTGTTAGGAACGACATAAGCAGCGACATCAGACACATGGATACCGACTTCATAGATGCCCTTTTCAACAGATTCAGCTGGAGTGACCGAGAAAGCGTAGTCAAGATCTATAGCATAATCAGCCGTGTTAATTCTCATCCTATACCCGAGTCAGAGCTCATAGTACCTTGATTAGCATCGCCGAATGTAAAGATGTCAAATTGCTTCTGCGATAAATCACGACGCCCTTTCTTGTCCTCATGTGAGACCTTGGTAGGCGTAGAAGCAGCTGCTTTTATGACTTGCTCAGAGAACTTGGCATCCTTGATATGATGGTCAGCTATCAATATGCCTGAATGTACAGCTAGTTCGCCAACCCATCCAATTTCCTTTTCAATCGACCCAAATGGATGCAACGAGGTCACTGGCCAGCGCAAGATGTTGCCCTGTAATGCAGTTACCAATGCCGATCAGTACATATATACGTGTAGTAGAAACACATTGGTATTTACCAGAAAGATTCTGTTTTTGTATTCTTCGTGGTATTTGATAAAGTCGGCAGGCGCATTCTTGATGGGTACAGCGACCAGTGGAAGTCGCTTATCTGCAGGAATAAACCAGATAATCTTGGGGCCATGTGTCTCTTTCTTGTCACGACTACCGTTATCCAAGGTTTTAGCGTGAGGGCGATACAAGGACAGGGTTCTATGCACAAGCGTCTAGTGAGTAGCTTATAGAATAGATGTGTATGCTATGATTTACCCTGAAAATAACATGTTTTTGGGTCTGTCAAGGATGCAGACTACTCTGCCACAGTATTTGGGTCTCTCTGCCATCTCTGATCCAGCATCCAACAGCACACTATTGTTGTCTTCAGGTATGGACGACAGGCCGCCGTTTGAAGTGATTGAAGAGGCGGCGGCGGTTGGGCCTCCGTTCAGCGACATGGCAGACAATCGTCTTGTATAACGCACCTGTCGCTTGGTCAGTTTCTCGTTCAACATGTCATCCACATCCACCAATTCAACAGCTACTTGATCGCCATTCAGCGCCCTATTTCTGTACTTGGACCCAAAGATATAGATGGAAGCATCCAATTCCTCACACTCTACATTGGCTTCAGAGCTGTCTTGCATGTCTACCTTGAGCATGCCTGAATACAAGACACGCGATCGCACTGCTGCTGCTGCTTCAGTGGGATTCAAGTGTGCAGGATACAGTGGTTTTCTGCCATTTGTGGGGTGATCCTGACTGGTAGAATGCTGTTGATTGACAAAAGTGTTTGGCACTAGCAAACACGTTTTGTTATTTGTGCGCCCAAGTTGATCAACATGTACACATACTAAACTCACCAGATTGACTTCGACTTCTGTTGGGAGGAGGTGCTACCAACGTCATATGCTCTTTGTCATTGTTCAGTGGTGATACAAGCGCATCCGCATACTTGTTCTCCCCGTCTTTTTCTTCCTCCAAAGGCAAGAAAGAGTTTATAAAGACGGGCTTACCAAATCGCTGATGCTGCTCATTGATTGTCTGTAATACAGAGCCATTCTTCTTGATGCTGTTGTCATGTTGATGTTGCTGCCTCATCTTTAGTGGTGGTTCTGAGTGTCTACGCACTCGCTTCCAGGCATTTACATCCTTGTCTATGGCTGATGCTGTGGCTGTGGACTCGTCAGTATTTGTGTCCGGAGTGATGGAGATGGATGGCAACCGCTTCATTTCGCTGATGATGTCCACGAGTGATTGAAATGCCGGCGATTCATCCTTTTCTTCTTTCTTGGAAAGACTTGCTCTGTGCTTTGCTTTGGATCTGACGCCAGTGTGTGAGCTTCTACGTCTGCTTTTGTGGCTGCTCTGTTGCTGCACTGCCATGAAGAACGGATCATTGTCTGTTGAGGGTTGCGCCTGGTTTCCCATGTCATGCCCGTTTTCTTCTTCTTCTTCTTCTTCCTTGTCCTCCTCCTCTGTTGTGGTCTCGGTAATTGCTGATGATCTTCTTCGACTGCCTCTTCGTCTTCTTCTACTGTTAGGAGACTTTTTCTGCTCTTGTCGAGCATCGACGGCTGCCAACATCTGATTGGGACGTAGATGGCTCTCGACGGCCAATGGATGCTGCTTAGCCATGGTTGAGTATGCGCACACAATGCATATGAATGCCTCCACTTACGTGCAGATGACTTATTTCCTGTACTTGGACCTGTCCCTTTTGCATGCTTGAAATGAACCCGAGAAAGAAAAAGGTAAAGATGAGTTCACACGCCACTTTTTTTTCTTTTGGTTCACTCCAATGTTGGTTTCCAAGGAGTCACGAAATTTGGAACGCATGAAAAATCATGCGTCATTTGTTTATATTCAATCAAACCTTAACCAGTACAAACGTACTTGTCACTCTTGCCCAAAAGAAAGGGGCGTCAATTAGGCTCATCACGGTGATAAATTGCTTTATTTACGCGTTTTTCTGATGTCTCATCATGCATTTCAAGTCTGGTTCCATGGCCATGCATTTTGTGTCGGAGCAATTTAGCAATGCATCCACATTTGAGCTATAGATCAATCATTTATTATCGAAATAAGGTTAAAGCAATTAAGGGAGAGGGATGGTGGCTATGAACAATAAAGCATTTAAAGGATAGAGGGAGGGTGAGTTCAATGTGAATATTTATATGCGCATGTCGTCAGAATGGGAGATTGGGGTTACAATGAGGAAAAGTCGGTTATAGAGCATACGGGCTTAAAAGGTGGCAAATTTTCCATCGGGTTGTGGTGGTTGCTGTTGTTGCTGCTGCTGCTGTTGCTGTTGTTGAGCATGATGAACAGGTAAGGCTGGGATAGCAAAGACATGTTCATGCTTGATTTGTGGAGACAGCGATGAGGTGGGCGTCTTTGGTGATGTGGGTGCAGAGGTAGGGGATGTAAGACCGTCTTCAGCCTGTGCTGCTGCTGTCTTGGCTTCTTTTGCCTCTCTCGCTGCTGCCTCTTTGGCTTCTTTCGCTTCTCTAGCAGCAGCTTCCTTGGCTGCTTGAGCTGCTTGTTTTGCTGCCAGAGCTGCTGCCCTCTGTGCCTTCTTCTGCTCCTCTTTTTCGCGCTTCTCTTCAGCAGCACGCTTCTTCTTTTCCAGTGCTTCTTGCTTCTTTGCTTCAGCTTTAGCTTTCTTATCTATAACAGCCACCATATTAGACACACATCATACACGCACCATTGGGATTAGAATACATACCCTCTTCCACCTTCTTTAGTTCAGAAGCAGCGTTTTCTTGAATGGCGGTCGCAGCACTGAAATCCAGCATTTGCGTCTTTTGAACCTTTTGCAGACCTCTTGGCAAGTTACTGCCTGACACTATACAATCTAGTCAGCATACAATCATAGTGCAAGGAATGGTCAACTTACTTGAATTGGTTGTGCTGGATCTTGGCATGGGTCGCTGGCCCGAAGCAGCAGGTCTGTTTGATTTGATAAAGAGACTATTGCCAGCAGCACCTGGACCAGCACCGGTGGGTCTTGCAGGACGTTTTGTGAACAAGGAAGAAGACGCGCCAACGGACCCCATGGAAGCGCTTCTAGGAGGAGGAATTGTACGAGATCTACCAGCACCAGGAAGAGCAATTGGATTTTGAGCTGAATGCTGTGCTGGGAATGGGAAGGGATTGGGTGTGGTGGAAGTAGGCGATGCGAGACGTTTGGCTTTACTACTCAACTCTGCACCTGCTCTCTTTTGTGATAATACTTGAGCTTGTTGAGCTTCAGCTATTTCGGAGCGTTCCTCGGATTCAACCAGTTCACTGAAGCGAGCATGTCTTGCCTCTGCCGAGATAATGTCACTGGCGTTGGTGGTTAATGTGAAATGCTGAGCATGCGTAGATTTGCGGTCGGTATACGTAGGTGAAGCGTGCTTGGGCGTGATTCTCGCATTGTGTTGTAACAACATGTCTTCTGGTGGATGAAAGTTGATACCGTTCTTTTCAACAGTAGAGCCAATGCTTTGCATCAAGGTTCTAAAGCTTTGAGACCATGCATCAATGTTGAGATCAAACGATTGAGCGCTGGGGTAGTCCTTGAGAATGTGAGCTGTTGTTTGTACAAAGTCGTCCGAGTCGTGCAATGATAGTTCAATGATCTATACAGAGAGTTTTGGGTTAGTAAATCCTGGCTATTCTATATGCAATCTGTCCATGTGAAATGAATGCTTTGTGCTTTGCGATATGTGCTGCATGAATCTGTCGAGCTGTATTCTCCACGCGACGTATTCTGCCTGTCTGTCTGGGGAGATCACATGCATGCTGTGTTGCCTTCTCCTCACACATACCATCTCCCAATTGTGAGCCACAATATTTGCAATTTTAATATGAAAAAGAATGAAAGGTTATTTTAGGTAGCAGAATATATATATATATATATTTTTCAAAGTTTTTACTATTGATAAAGAGAATGATAAAAACTCTAAGCTATGATATAAATATTGTCTTTACCCTTTCAACTTGTAGCATAATCCCCACAATTGAATTATACCCCCTTGTAATGAGTCAACATGTACAAACTCACACGGAAATATAATAGGCCCACCTATTTGATTGCTGATACCATATCGAAACGTATATAGCATTGCAAAGCAAAAAAGTAGAAACATTGTATTCCAGTAGTCGAACTTGAATTCCTCTTCAGCATATTGAAGCTGCGAAAGATGACAATCATGCCTACCATCATGCATGTGAAGAAATATAAAGATTTCAATTCATGCACATGTTGTGGACACTGGAAATACATCCTTCCTCTTTCAATACGCTGCCATTTGCAAATCCACAGCAAAAAAAAAAAAAAAAAAAAAAAAAAAAACTTGCGTGCAGACCAACATTCATCACAACAGCAGCAGCGAAAAGCATCATTTCACATAGCCTTCTTGTATGTGGGAGCAAACAAGAAGGAATAAAGGAGAATTATAGAAAAAAAAAGAATAAACATTTACCTTGTTTAAATTGTCACCAAGAAGCATTAGATCGCCTTTTCGCATACATATGGTCGCTAACAAGACGCCTTGCTTTACTCTACTGTCAAATTGGCTGAAATTGGGTGTGATCATAGTGACAACGTCTTCTGTAAGACCTTTGGCGATAGATGCGCTGTTCCAACCAGGAGAACTAACTTCAGCTGTGAGCCATAGCCGGATACCTTCTGCAGTGTTTCTTTCGTAGGCCATGGTGAGTGTGTGTATATGGTGGGTAAAAAAAAAAAAGATGAAATAGAAATGTAGACGAGAAAGAAAAAAGAAATGAAATAAATTTTTTTTAGCCCCATTTATACCTGAAAATCCTTTTAATTTCAAATGACGAATGTCTGCAAGGTAGTCACCGATACACCCCACTCCTATCGCAAGATCTTTACGAGTGGTTGATAGAGAGAAAGAGAGCATGACATTGCGCCCGAGAGATCGCAATCTTTCTTGGTTTGTTATGTAGCATTTGATGATTGGCATGTTAAACAAAGCAATAGAATATCAAATCAAGGCATTTCCAATGTTAACATTGCCTTGATACCTAGTAGTAATTTGTTGCTTGATGCTCTCCAAATGTATCAAGTAGATCGCTCTGCTCAAAATATGCTCAAATGTCAACATTGCTCTAATTTCTTTGTTTCTTGTGCAATCCAATAAGTAATGGCATTTGCCTTCTATGTAATACTCAAAGTTTAGAGCGATTAACAGAGGATTTTACCAGTTATATGAAATACTCGAATCATAGGATATGGTTCTTTCCAATTCATGATCTCCATTTGGTCAGCATCCGAATCATCATTGCAATCATCAGGAAAGGCATTTTGGTCAGCCAGCAGCACCGTCGCCCACCACCACCACCAAATTTATTTAAGCCCAGAACATGCTATCCGTTCAAGATTGGATAAATTTCGTGTTTTTTCGACTCGATTAAACTATTTTGCAAAGTTCGACTCTACCAATTGTCATGATCATGCGGTACTTCTTTAAGCTTACGGGAGGATCCCGGTTCAAATCCTGGTGAACGCAAGTTGTTTGATTTTTTTTTGGCGTAGTACTGATGTCCTCGTTTGGTGTTTTGTGCTCTTATCCATTATCTATATTTTGACGATTTCCGCAAGACTGTATTGGCTCTAGGTGTCGCACCTTATTAGTAGTAGATTTCTTTCCCAACTTAATTCAAAAAATATCTTATTCCCCTTCTTTGCAGACATTGGGTCCACCAACAGTCTTTTCTATCCCTCAGCATGACATTTAAAGGACTTTAAATAAAACCTGGAGCTCGACTCCCCTACAAAAAAAAAAAAAAAAAAGTACTTCTTTAAGCTTTCTAAGAGTTCTTTTCATGGCGCATCCAACGGTGCTATTTATAATGCATGTTTAGAACAAGCTTATTGAGCAATATCCAAAAATACGGAATGACGTTTTTGGCCAAAATGCCGAGATTTTACATATTAAGGTTGCACACACAAGTCTTCTGGGGGGGTTACTTTGGATCGATAGAAACATTTTGAACTGATATGTACCATAATAAAAGTCTTCGTTCTTGGGGTCAAAAATGCGATCATTTGATTTTTGATAACTTCCATGAGGTTACCCCCTCATGCTTTTTGGTAGATTTTTGACGATGTTTTTTTTTTTTGGTCCCCAAAAAGTTGAGCAAAGGTGTCAGAAAGCAAGTGCCAGGTGAAAGCAGTTGTACGGCGTTATTCTGGCAGTCTAAAACGACTTTTAACGCGAGAGAACACAGCTCAAATGCGCCCAAATGTTGCTGTGATTTGCATATTTTTGGGTAGTGAACGACGATGCAGCTTCGCTGCCTACTTTGCTATGTATATTAACTAACTCGTTCTCTCTATAAATATTGCAGAGCGAGCTCTCTCACTTTATTTTTGATAAGGTTATCCAGCAGAATCAAAGCCTTTTATGTAGCAAACCTGATCTGCATCACTAAACCAGTCAAACCCCTTCTTCTTGGCTTCTTCAAACGTGTATAAATCACTTTTACTGCCAATCCAGTCGTTGATGTCGTAGGTGATGGATGCACACTCCTTTAAATACACATTGCGAATGAGCTCCTCGTCTTTCTCCAATGTCATGTGCGGATCTTGCGTCAGTGCCAGATTGTGAATAATGGCATTCTTCAAGGATTTGCCACAGGTACTGATAAGGGTGGGGATGAAATCAGACGACACAACTAGCCGTGAAGCCGAAATGTACAGTAGCTGCAGTGATGGTAGCTGTTTTGCCAGGGCGGTCCAAGTAGCTGATGGTGCGTGGCATGGTAGTGTATCGCATTCTTTGGTGACTGGATAGAACTTTTTGAATCCTAATGACAAGGTACATAGATGTGTCAATCGAGACACGCTGGCAAGCGCTTGTTGCACATGGAAGGGGTTTAATTCATGCAGTAGTATAGACAGTTTTTCTAAATGAGGTGAGGAGAGCGCCATCTGCGCCAGTAGCGATGATGAGATGGAATCTGTGGTGAGAGCGAGCTGAGAGAGGTGGTTGGCGGCGAGTGATTGCAGTAATCTCGGTGGTATGGCAGTTACTTGGGTATCTTGGTAATGAAAGGGATGCAAATTTGCTTGGTTCAGTGTATCTATTAAATGGGTGTTTGTTTTCGGTTTTGTGGGTGGTTCTATCAGGACTTGCTGTAACAAGATGAAGGTAGGCTTCAGCGTGGTGGCCAGTTTCTCTAGCGTTGTTTCTTTGATGGTGCAATTGGTCAGTGTGAGCGATATCAACGGTGGCTGGTACTGCACTAACGATAGAAAGTCATTGAATGTATCACGGCATTGATTTAGGTAGAGTTCATTGAGCTGAGGGCAGTATTCAGCGAAATAGCGTAATCCATAATGATCTGATCTAGCCAATGGGTGGAAATCTATCCGTAAAGCACGCAAGTTGCACACAAGCTGAGCCATGAGCCTTGAGTTGAGCAGATCAAAGTGGGGCCCACTGGTCAAATCACGGCTCAGCGAGCGCACATAGTCGCCTAGGTAGTAATCTTGCTGAAACAGTGCTTTTTTGGATAGAATCTCTGTTGCCATCTGTACTGCTGCATTGGCACTTTTTTCATCGTCTGCGCGCGGCAGAATAAACTCCTTGTCTTTCCATAGAAATGGTGCACATAGGATATACAGTCGTCTGCAGCAGAGTGCAATGGACTTGAGATGGACGTAGCTGTGCTCTGGATATGACCAACCCAAGAACTGGTGTCCTTCGTCTTTTCTCGCTTCTATCATGGACGATAAATCAATGATCTTTTCCAGCACTTCACTTGGTAACTTTAATAGATAGGACATTTGAGGGTGTTGGTGAATGGGTGCCATGTTGTATATGTATAGGTTAAGAAGAAAACAAAAGAGAGAAAAGGAATAAAAAGAGTCTATAGAGCAATGTTGTTATCTATCGTTGTCGTCGTGAGAATATCAAAACAAAGGGGTAAACACATGACTCGTTCAAATTATGCGATGAAAGGCATCAATGTAGGTGTCTTTGACTTGTAGTTGATCCATTCTTGACCAAAGAAACGGTGCAATGTGTGCTCCTCGTACTGGATACGCTCAGAAAAGAACTTTTGCAGCCAGTAGACGAACAAACCAAGACAGACAGGGTTGATCAACAGCACTTGCACGCCAATGGCCCACCAGTAAAAGCCGAAATAAGAGGGATGTCGCATTACGCTGGGCGTGTGTGTTGTTAGTTGTCACCGCTAATGTTGATTGCACTGTTGCTTACCTGTAGATACCATGCTGCACCAAGACATGGTCATTCTCCTTGTAGTCGACAATGTGATGAGAAAAGTTGTGTCTGCAAGAAAACATGGCAATCGTGCGACAGGCTTGGCCAACGATGACCAGCAGCAAGCCAGCATAATTGATCCAGCCGAATGTCTTGTAGGAAGGAAACAAGTAGTACTCGACCAAAAATTCAATCAAGGCAGCAGCATGCGCAGCATGATAGTGGGCGCTGTGGTTGATGAGGTAGGCTGTGTGTATAGAATGAGATCTTTCTGCTAGTATGACGATCTCTGATACTTACAATCAAGGGACAGCTTGTCAGCATTAAAGAGAGCCGTTGCAATGTATTCTAAAAAGTGGAACAGTGAAAGAGCAGCGAGAAAGATGCCAAACTGAGGTATATGAGAGTCGCTCAAGATGGCAAACATGATGCCTGCACTGCAGACCATGCCTAGCAAGAACCCATATACTGAAATGTTCTGGGGAGTGTTTCTGCCATCAAATATGTGGATCTCATCTTTGACTGAATATTTGCTACTGGGTTTCGTTGATGGTGAAGATGGCAACAGTTGAATGTTGGGATCCGAATCCGTCTCATCTCCAAGAACACGACGTATATTCAGGCTCGGTGTGCTGCTCATCTTTTTGATAGTGGAAAGGAGAGAAAAGAAAGAGAGAATGAAAATCTTGCTTGCTTCCAAATACTCGACATGTAGCCCAATCACGTGTAGTCAAGGGCAACCAACTGCAAAAAGAGAGAGAGAGAGAGAGAGTGACAAAAAAGGGCATTGTCGGGAAAAGTGTCTCTCTCTCTCTCTCTCTTTTTTTTCTCTTTAAAGCAACACATCCAATGTATAATCCCACTCGACTCAAGGTACAACTGAAGCTAAGCATCAACAGACTCAAGATGCTTCAAGCAAAGAAGACATCGCTGAATCAACAAAACAGACGAGAAATCGGCACACTGTTGGAGAAGGGCAAGGAGGAGAGCGCTCGTGTACGAGTAGAGCACATTATCCGCGATGATCTGCTGATTGAAGCCATGGAGAATTTGGAGCTGTACTGTGATTTATTACTGGCACGCTTTGGGCTACTGGAATCATACAAGTAAGATGGTTTGTGTTTGCTATCTCATGTACTGAAATGTGTTGTAAAGGACATGCGAACCAAGCATTTTCGAGGCTGTCAATACCATTATTTGGGCTGCACCTCGTGTGGGTGAGGTCAAGGAGCTCGGGTTGGTAATGTGTGCTGTTGTAGATAGGCGCCATGTCGGTTTTGTTAATCACTGAACATAGGTCAGAGATCAGTTGGCATCCAAGTATGGCAAGGAATTCATGATGCAAGCATTGGAAAATGAAGACGAGCGAGTGAATCCTAGAGTAGGCATCTTGCATTTCAGCCTTGCTGTAGATACTGACGCTTTTGTTGCGAGTAGATTGTCATGAAACTGCAGGTAAATGCGCCTGATTCATATCTTGTGGAGCGCTATTTGGAAGAGATTGCTCGGACCTACGATATCAAATGGAGATCAAATCTGATTGAGCATGAAGAAGAAGAGCAAGAGTATGACAATGACCAAGATGAAGTGGACAGTGACGGGGGAGGAGGTGGAGGACAAGCAGAGGTAAGTAGACCAGTGCCATGGCATTGAGATCATTACCTAATCACTTGGTGATAGATGCTGCCTCCCTTACAGAACCCTACCATGCCGGATGAGGATGAATCTCGGTTTGATTTACCCGACATACCCACCAGTTCACCCATGAAGAAGAAGGCCAATGCTGCAGCAGGACCACCACCAGCAGGGCCACCAGCCAACAACAATGCTGCTACGGAGGATCCCAATGACTTTGATGCATTGGCAAGACGTCTAGATGCCTTGAAGAGAAAGTAAATCAAGAGACTGCTTTTAAAAGGCTTCATTGCAAACCCATTGAATTACTAAAAAAAGCTGGATTGATAAAATTATAACACCATTTTTTTTAAATTGCATCTCTTTCTCTCTCTCTCTCTCTCTCTCTCCCTCTTTTTCTCTTTTATTTATACAACAACAAAAGCCTTGATTATTACATGAGTGGTCATGAGATGAATGACGATAAGAATAATGCCATAACAATCATACAAGAAGCAGAAGAGGAGATTCTGGAAGAGGAAACTGGCAGTGAAGTGGTGGAAGTGCTGCCGGAAGTAGCCAAGGCAAAAGAGGAAACAGCAGCTACTACTGCTGTGACAGAAGCCACCTTCAAATCAACCTCAGTAGCTCTGATAGAGAAGCTGTTGCAATTCAGTACGCCTCGCTTGGATTCCAAGATTGTCAATGTTTTGTTTCTGGAAGGTAAAAAAAAAAGAGTGCTGGATGAGGATAGAAGAGGGGGGGGGCAAGACTTTCTCATTTACATATGATTTTTATAGGCATGATGGATATCTTCATGACGCACGTGTCTCGCTTGGATCTGGAGCAGAAAAAAGTCGATCTGGAAGCCTGTGATTTCGAGACAAAGCTCAAGTACAGCAAGCACAAGCGAAACTTTGACGATATTGATGCGCTCAAGCGATCCTATCATGCTATGGAGTTTCTATCGGGAACAACAGCAAATCATCTATGGGTACAAAATGCCAAATTCTATGACATTGGTAGGTGTAGTAACAACAAGATTGGCGCATTACTAATGACGGACACAGTCAATCATTTGTTTGAGATGTTTCTGCCAAACTCACATGGTAATTTCAACCACTTTTTCAAGATATTTCAACACTTGGTCAGACGCCACCCATGTGACATGTTGGATTTTGTCATTAACCGGGACAATGCCTCGATTGTATTCAACTACATGCTGCCTTACTTGACTGAAAGCTCTGTTATGGATTCCATCTTGAGCCTGATATTTGTGCGTGATATCAACCCCGAGACAAAGCAAGAGCGTGAAAAGAGCCATGAAAAGTTGTATCAATTGGGATTCTTGGAGTGGATTGTAAGCAAGATGCAAATGAAAGGTGTGTACCGTCAGACAGAGTGTGGACACAGGCACTCACATAGACATGCATGAAAACAGAGCATCCAGAGTATGTGGAAGCAGCGCAAGAGTTCTTTCTTCGAGTGATAGAAGAAGCATCTCAAGTGGATAACGGAGACGTCCTGTTCAAGGCACTAAAGGAGGAAAAGGGAGCAGAGATTATGCAAGTCCTAGTAAAGCAGGTGATAAATAATCCGCCTTCCGAAGAAAGAGAACGTATGATAAGTATTATCAAATTGCTGGTAAAGAGGTAAGATGACGCGGTATTCGCAATGTATACCAGGCACTCATAGCGGAATCTATAGTGGCATGTTGACTACCAGAGCTTCCTCACTGTCTCAGCCTGTGCAAGGACCATTGTATTATATATCGCTGCGATCGCAAGATCTACTAGTGAAGCATATTCCGGATTTCTGTTCATTGTTTGTGAATGACCGACAGTCTATCAACACGAAAATGTAAGTTGAAAAAGTGGGATTATATACAGTGCTCAGTAACGCATACACACATTGTCACATGCTAGTGCCCCTCTGACAACATCAGACATGGACCTCTTGGACATTATCTATCAAACACTGTACAATGCAAATGAGAAGACACAGATGCTGGCATCTACTCCCACTGCTTTCTGGAAGATTCTCGTCAACTCGTTTTTCGAGAAATCCTCCAGCAATATTTATCATACCTTATTTTATAGAATCGTTTGTTTGACATTGGCCATCAATTACGAACCCACATTAATTGTGCTTGTCAGAAAGCAGAGTTTGATTACGAGACTCATTGATGAATATCAGGACAAGAAGAGAATCACAGGTAAGTGTGTCGGTTTGTTTGAAAAGGTATGGATGCTAATCCATTCTCATGAAACAGAAACCCGTGGCTTCATCTTGTTGATTTTGAATCAGCTAAGATTGATGGCTGATGCCCACCATTCTGATTTGATTTCTCGTATCATCTCTGTCCATCCGCGCTACCAAGAATTCCTACCCACATTGCGAAAAGACACACTGGCACAGACGGAACCTATCTACGCGTGGAAGTTGGAAGCATGTCCTCGACCACCAGCACATCTTGGCCCTACACCACCTATTCAAGCTGTGCACTTTTCACCGTATTCTGGTACACTACCGCTGATGAGCAATGCAAACGACAATGACGATGCATCTGGTATTGATCTAGGCAGTGATTTCGCCTTTTGTCTTGGATTCAAGGAAACAGAGAAAGGAACCGAAACGCCCTACGAATACCTGTCTCGCAGAAACTCTGATTACTCTTCCTCTCAGTCCACAAATGAAGGATTTCCCATGGACATTATTTGGGGCGAAAGCCTAACAGCGAATGATAGCCAAAGTGAAGACGATTCTGATGGAGCATCATCCAAGAGTGGTAGTAGTAAAAGCAAAAAGAAGAAGAGGAGATGAATAAAACGGCTATTTGTTCAACCGAATGCTTTTTTTTTTTTTTATAACAATCACCTATTTTTTTTTTTTTTTTTCTCTTCTTCCTATTCTCTTTAAAATTTTCATTATATACCATGTATTCTAGCTCTGAAGAAGAGGAATATGATTGTCCGCTCTGTATGGAAGAGCTGGATATTGCAGATAGAAATTTCAGACCTTGTCCATGCGGTTATCAGGTTCGATTTGGGTTCGCTTCTTGGCTACAGTGGAGAGAGAGAGAGAGAGAGAGAGGCTTATCATCCTTTACTTTAGATTTGTCGTTTCTGTTGGCATCATATTCGTGAAAATCTCAACGGCCGATGTCCAGCATGGTATGTTGTAGTGTTTTCTAGTTGAGCTTGCTCGATTCAATGTGCCTTCTCTTGTTAGTCGTAGAGAATACTCTGATCAGAATGCAGAATTTGAGCCTATCAGTGCTGATGAGTAAGTTGGTTCAACATGGGCGGGGGACGGCCATCCGATATTCACGTACATGTCTGTAGAATATCTCGCATCAAACGTGAAAAAAAGGAAAAGGAGCGACAGCAGCGAGACATGGACTTGGCAAACAGACGACATTTAGCCAACATGAGAGTGGTGCAAAAGAACCTTGTGTACATTATTGGCCTTCACCCAAAGTTGGCTACAGAAGAGACGATTCGCTCAGCAGATTACTTTGGACACTTTGGCAAAATTGCAAAGATTGTCATCAATAAGCGGCAGATTGCACCTACATCACATGCCAACGGGGCGACTTCAATGCAACCCAGTGCAGCTGTATACGTTACCTATGTGAGAAAAGAGGACGCAGCAAAGGCAATACATGCTGTGGATGGCAGTGTGATGGCTGGTAGAATCTTGAGAGCCTCTTACGGCACAACGAAATACTGTACATACTATCTTCGCAATATGACCTGTCCAAACCCAAATTGTCTGTATCTCCATGAACCAGGAGAGGATGCAGATACAATATCCAAGGAAGAATTGGCTACTGGAAAGCACCGTATGAGAGACCAAATGGCCAATGACGATTCAGACGATGAGCATGATCAAGAGGACATGGATGATGACTTTCGATCGGCTTCCACCAAAGATGAGCGATCTGCATTACCAGCAACTGCCTCCTGGGGTAAAACCAGCACACCAGGCACACCCGTCGCCAAGAATAGTCAGTTGCCAGAACGTGCATTGACGCCTGATGCATTTGGCCCACCCTTAGCGGTGGCAGTAGCTCAACAGCAACAGCAGCAGCAACAAAAGCAGCAGTTATCGCCCAGTGTACTAAAACGAAAATTAGAAAAGAAAAAGAGAAAGGAATTGCTTAGGCAAAAGAAGGAGGAGGGGCTACAGTTGAAGGAAAAGCCAGTGGCAGAGCAATCATCCTCATCAACACCAACAGCAGCATCATCAGCAGCAGCAGCAGCACCTCAGAAGGAAGCATTTGAATTTGATCATCTCGTCAATTTTGTGCTGGGAGATGCTTTCAACCAAGCGTGTCTGCCGGATGTCGACAGTGCGGATGAGGAGGACAAGCCAGTCGGTGTATCTGGTCTCTATTCATCGGATGAGGACAGCAATGCTGTTCAAACACCTAACGAATCCAACAGCAGCCATGAGATAGAGAACAGCTTGACGGAAGAATTAAACAAGCTCAATTTTGATGCCGTTTCACCACTAGAATTCTTGACACAAGCGGTACCTACACCGGCATATACAGGCACATTTAATCCTTTCACACATCAACTGTTGAGAACATCACCACCAATAGAAAACACGAGCTTATTTGATTCTCCTGTTCGAAAAACGTCTCGATTTGGTTTTGCACAGTTTTAATTTTTTTTTTTTTTTTTTTTTTTCTTTCCATATCTCTTTTTCTTCAACTCGTATAAAATAAACATGAATTACAGCGGCAATGACACCAGTGTGTTTAGATGTGGTCGAATATTTTGTTGTTTTGGAAGCAAAGGAAAGCAGATTGGTGTCTATTTCGCTGGCATTTTGGTACCTGTGTATTCAGACGCTTGATGATCACGGCAAGACACTGATGGACATGGAGATTTTGTAGTTTGCGCTGGGCTGGTGGGTATTTATCGACGGTTTAGCGGTTCTTTGGAATCTACAGGACCGTAAGATTGCACCGGGAATAGAGGATTGGGCGCCTGGTATCATCACAACCTTTGGCATGATCATGTAAAGTATTTGGCCGCGTATCATGTCATTTGATTAATGCATAACTGTTGTTGTGTAGTGTCAATTTGATTGATAAAGAGGCTCTGAGGGGAGGGCAATTTGACGAGCAATATACCTGGAGAGCACGGTTATTCTTATTTTTGGGATTTGCTTTCATGGCAGGAGGCTTCTCTGGCTCCGTGGTAAGCAGCAATGCAGTAGGAAAATGATACCATCTGTTTTTACTAATGTAAGCCGACATAGGCTGTCTTGATTACAAAATACATTTACAACGAGACTTTAGATTTCGATAATATTTATTTGGGTATAGCAGATGTAGCTCAGAATTCGTTGATTATGATTAGTACCGGTATATTATGGCTGGCACAGAGCTCGCAACAAGGCTCACAGTACTATCAGATCTACTAGAGATGCTTTGGTGGAGGAATAAAAATGACATGTCAAGTTCACAGAGTAATGAAAGAAAGTGCTCTGCTCTGATTTCAAGTAGTGTCACATGTGCTCTTTGTTTTGTTTCGCTTGAACCGGATGACTATCTTGATTCAAACTTGATCAAGAGGATGTGATGAGTGTATAAAAGGGACACAGAGAGATGCTGGATGGTGCTGTTGCTCTTTCTTTCCTACATATTTTATACATGCAACTGAGACAACGACAAGTAGCATCAGCACCTGGCAGAACTTGCACAAGCGTATGTGTATTCAATGCGCTGCTAATCTTGACTTTATCTTTGAGTAGATGTACTATGTAAGTATTGTGGTCGAAAAGACTTTAAAAAAAAACAATCGAGGGTTGGCTATGCATCTGCGACGTTCAAATTGTGCAGAGCAGCACAAACAACATCAGCCATTGCAACCTCAATCACAAGCATCAGCATCGTCCAGGCTTCCTGCTGCTTCGTCACCAACTAACATTGCCACCAGCTCTCTCATTGCTCAGCTTCTTCTAAGCACTGTGGAAAACCTCTTTGTCATCTTTATCTATGTTTCCAATTTGATCAACCCTGTCGAGGGGTTCTTGATGATACTATGTGGCTATCTGAACGCTTTTGTTGACATGCCTGGCATTTTTAGAAGCCTATACTATGGATGTATGTTTTTCTGGACGCTGTGTACTGATCCAGACAACATTTCAGCCCCTTTTTTACCCAATTCAATTCAACTGTATTGGGATAAAGCATATGGCTGCCTGGATGAAGGCTGCTTTTATAAGGCTAGGTAAATTGGTGGAGTTGTTGATAGGATCCTACCTTTTCAAAAAGGTGCTTTTCTGGAGTTTTAATGCACTATTCACTTGTATCCAGCTTGTCTATCTTCTCTTGAAAGGAATCTTTCTCGCCAACATGAATTGAATTGTATCCACAAGGAATAAAACGAGCGAGCTCATGTGGATTCTTAAAAAAAAAAAAAAAAAAAAAAAAAAAAATAACCCGCTGATAAGTGTATATAATCGGTACATGGCCAAGTTAATGCTTGATGTCTTGACGTGCTATGGGAGTAGAGTTTCAGTGTAATCATGTGTAGAATTGCGCAACATTCGTACTCTTCATTGGCAAACTCTCTTATTTATGAGTGGCTTTAATAGCATATAAAAGACGATAACGTAGTAGGCAATGCAAGACTTATTTGTCATTTATTGATGTATTTGTAAATTTATGAGAAGCAATGATTTTGTATGAGTTTGTTTAGACTTGAATAGAATTTGTTTTGATTTGTGTAGATAAGAGGCAGCAGAGATGGCAACATGGCTTGCCTTTGTATATACTAAGCAGTATGAATTTAAACATTGGATTGAATAATAGGCAGCAGAGATAAGAGTATGGCTTGTTTTTGTATAGATGTAGATACGACAATGCGTATTGGAGTAGTCTTGTCATTGCAGTGATAGGCGGCACAGTGAGCAGCTTGACTTGATGGCATATGGAGAGCATCGTTTTGTCTTGGTGGCTTTAGTTGTTGTAGTAAATGGTATGGATCATGGGTAGCAGATGAAACTAGATAAAGATGAGATAAGTACACAAGTACTGCAGGCATGAGTGCGTAACAAACCATTTGGGCAATGAAAATTGACCATCAATAAAAAGGAACCAACACTATATAAACAGGTACCAAGGTGTAAACTTGCTTCACCTATCACAAGATTATCGACACGCTCAAGACACCTTTATCTCGGATCATAGGGCTGAACCCAATTCTCGTCGGCAATAAAGCCTGTGGTCATCCCGTAGCATGACCAAAGGATTTGTCCTGCAGTCTACTCATGATTATGAAGCTGTGATCCTACTCAGTCCCTACAAAAAAGTAGTTTTTCGGCACTATTTAATCAATAGGTTAGTCAACATGGCTCATACGTCCAACAAGATAATAACTTACTCGCACAGTTCACCAAGGTCTGCATGTATCAAAGATAGTGTGGCCTTTTTCTAGCATGGACCAAGAGACGTAGAGAGGACCATGGATTTGTAAGGCATTGTATGTAGCAGTAGTAGAGGCCAATAGACAGTAGAGTATTTGATTTACTTGACCATATGTAGAGAGAGAGACCCCAAATGTCTTGTAGAGAGTTTGTATGTATAGAGTATTTTGCTTGTAGTAGAGAGATGAGATGAAGAAGAAGAGGGAAAAGCTGTTGAAACAAATCCCTATTTATATCCTTCTCATCGACTTTTGTGTGAGTCCAGTATCCTTGCCGCACTCAAATTCGGTTCCTTTTACTTTTCTCCACGATATACTACTTTGAGCGCGTGAAAATAGTACCATTTTGACGTTTGACACTTGCTCTATTTGATCCGCTTCGTCCGAGGCTTTCAACTGTTTTCTGTCTCGAGTTATGTCCATTTTGCTATTTCAAAAAGCCCTTTTTTTTCACCTTCCCATGAAACGAGTTCCCCCATCTCTTCCTAGATGTAATTAACAGACAACTTTTCACTGGCTCAGCCTCATCAAAAAGTAAACAAAAAATGTCATTTGACACTGAAACAAATGCAGCTGGTTGCTTGATTAAGTAATCTTTTTTTTTTTTTTTACCTCTCCTTAATTTCTCTCTCCAAGATCATACGGTTCTCGATCCATCTCTCTTGTTGTTTACATCAGCCATAAACTGTCCATCTAATCGGACAATACGAGTGTTAAGGTTGGCTTACTTGTCGTTTACATCACATCGGAGCCAGCATAACTGATTCTGGACCAAGAAACAATTGTACACCTCGGAAAACAAGCGTGCCATATGAATATTACTGCGGCAATCTCCATGGAATGGAACATAATGGATTGTTTTCGAACCAGTGCAAGTCATCTTGTTTCCAGCTATCATGGTTGCTGTCAATGATGTCAATCAAGTGTTTGCGCTACTAGATATCATCAATATGCCCACATTTACATAGTGAGTTGGTCATTCTCGTGTATCATTTCTGCATCTCATAAAGAGTCAACACATTTTTCATATCATTTTTTTTTTAGGGATCGTCCTCTTTTAGAAGGTACTCGGATCATGCAAGATCAAAATAATTCATTTGCTAAGCAAAATTAAGCTTTAAAAAAATCACATGTAGAGTAAACAAAAGGGCATGAATTGAAGAGAGATAAGCAAGTAAATGGTCGATCTGCGGTCAAAAAGATGGCATTCTATCATAAAGTATGTACATCATAAGAAAACAAATTGCTTGAGGAATCGAATGATGCCGTTTTCAGGGTCCAAAGTAAAGCGTATATCATGAAATCCATCAAACAAAGGCCGTGGGATCTTTAAAAGAGTCTAGTTTTGAGTTGACGAGTACTATACTTGTTCTTGTCATTCGTGTGCAACATTCCTTTGTTTTGTATACTATTCTGTTACTTTAGATTACATCAGTTTTCTCCTAGGGCACTAATTCGTTTGCATTTCTCGAGCAAACAGCCAACTGTTTATGGCGGTGGTAATGTGGAACAGCACCCCCCCCCCCTCACCATGTAACTTGGTTGGTAAATTGCGCGAGGACAGGCGCAATTATTTTGATTACATGAAATGTGGTATTGAATCAAGATGCATGATTTGAGTTGACCTTTACATGAAATGTATTCACCCTGACAGTCTTTCTAGCATAAGGTTGCCCAACACGGTTACTCTGCAAGCAGCCTTAACTAATCATATATCCTATCGTTGCTTTCTAAAGAGCGTATTTATCGACATCATGTTCTCCATTGAGCCCACATGTCACCACTGAGCCTTTGCCTCTAAATCCAAAATTCCTTTCAAATTCAGGAGGGCCAAATCCAATCTTTGATTTCGAAAATAGCTGAAAACACGGTTGAAATCCCGCTCAAATTTGTGCTCCAAATTGATCGAATTTGCTTTTTTTCGACTCGATTGACCTATTTTTTCAGATTCGACTATATAAACTGTGATGATCATCCCATACTTCCTAATGCAAGCCCCTGGTGGTAGGGCGAAGTGGTAAAAACTCCCGTATGCCAACGGGAGGATCCCGGTTCAAATCCTGGTGAACGCAAGTTGTTTGATTTTTTGACCTAGTACTGATGTCCTCGTTTGGTGTTTTGTATTCTTATCCATTATCTATTTTTGACGATTTCCGCAAGATTGCATTGGCTCTAGGAGTCGCACCTTATTAGTAGTAGATTTCTTTCCCAACTTAAGTTCAAAATATCTTATTCCCCTTCATTGCAGACATTGGGTCCACCAACAGTCTTTTCTTTCCCTCAGCATGACATTTTAAGGACTTTAAATAAAACCTGGAGCTCGACTCCCCTACAAAAAAAAAATACTTCCTAATGCATTCTAAGAGTACTTTTCAAAGCGCATCCAGTGGTACCAACCATGGCCAATGTTTAGAATAAACTTACTGAGCAATATCTAAAAATATGAAATGAGGTGTTTGGCCTACATGTGGAGATTTTCCATATAAAAGTTGCACAAACAAAGTTTCAGCAGTTGCTTTGGATCGAGAGAAGCATTTTGAATTAATATATGCTATAGCAAAAGTCTTCATTATCAAGGTGAAAAACGCGATCGTTTGATTTTTGATGGAAACCTTGAGGGATACCTCATGGTTTGGAGTCGGTTTTCGACGATCCCAAAAAAATTGAGCAAAGGTCGCAGACAGTTACTGCTGGATGAGAGCAATTATTTGGTACTATTCTGGATGTCTTAAACGGCTTGCAACACGAGAAATCACGAGTCAACTGCACCCAAATTTCGCTGTGGTTTCCATATTTTTGAGTAATAATAAGAGGTATGGCTAGTATACTGCCTGCCTTATATGAATTGTTTCTGCAGATGCAGACATGGAGCGCCCCCAGAAAAGACCCAGATCCACCGTTACAGTTTGTTCACAATAAAAAGCCCTCGCATGCTTATAGTAGAGAGCTAAAAAACAGCATTTATGTAGCATCTTCATCAGCTAAAATGTATGGGTGTTTATTATTAATGGTACAGGTATTATATAGTAAGGGCCGGGGGGAACATGTATCGTCTATGCATAAAGCCAAGAGCGAAAGAAGAGAGGTGATTGTGTAGAGGTGGATTAGATATTAGGAGGGTAAGAATCAATTAGAAACCTCTGCGGGTAAAATAGTAGTACTCTCGGTGGTAGTAGGAGTAGAATTTTTGTTGGTAAGGGCAGCAGCAATCTCTGTACTATCCGCGGTCATATTATGCTTGGGTGTATCTTGTTCACTTTGCTGTGGTGGTGGAGTCAAGGGAAGTTTTGGTTTTAGCTGATCATCATTTGTCGTTGAGATGGCAGCAGCAGCAGCAGCAGCGCCTCCGCCTAACGTTGTGGTATTATTATGGATGTCGTCTAAGCTTCCCCTGCGTGTTTCTTGCTTGTTTGCAACAGTCTTTACTGATTTAGGTAAAGGGGAGGATTCGGATGTAACTACTTTAGGCTCTTGATCGACAACAGCAACGCCTGATGTTCTCAGGGTCCAAGGCAATGCGCCCATTCTAAGCGCATCATTAATAAAAGACACCAAGACCATCATTTGTGAGTGCTATAGTACTTGCCTTGCATAAAACATTTGTAGTCTCAATCGCATGGCTTCATGATACAAGTCAGGGATGCTCCTATTGTTGTAGAGTCCTTGTCTGATATTACGAATCAACACATAAAACTCGCACACAGCCACCAAGCGGTCTCGACAAAAGCGATCAATGCAAGCCCAGTCATCAAAATACGAAATTCTAAAGCGGTAAGGCAATGCAGTGCCATCGTTTCTTCCGCATGCTTGACATCCACTGAATACAGTTGTCTGATTATTGCTACTAAATCGCTCCCACATCATGGACTTGGCACCTGAGATTTTGAGCGGTAATTCACCAATGGCACGTTTCGCCTGTTCTTCAGCAAAGCCTTGTGGCGATTCCTCGATAAAGCAAGTATTCAACACGATGGCTTCATTCATTTTGCGAGCAGATAATCGACTATTAGGTCCAAATCTCAAGCAGGCTTCTACATCCTCTTCTTGACAGTTCTTCATGAAAGGAATGGTGTGAATCTTCTTGAGGCTGACTGCAGTGCCTGTTTTTACAAACTCTTGGAATTCATCCAGCATCAACGCATCAATGTGTGCGTTCTTTTGTTCCAGTAAATTCATGCGCTCGGCTAAAAGGCTTGTAATGTCCTTGATATGATCTGGTGTCTTTGGTACTTCCATTACAGACTTCTCGACCTCCATCATGTCCTCCATACGCTTTCTCAACTCCTTCAATTGCATCTGCTCAGCTCCTAAACGATCTCTTGTCTCCTGTAACTGATTCTCCAAATGTTTCTGAGCGACTTCCAGGTTGTATTTTTCACGCTTTTCATTTGCAACCATGCCATTAGCTTCCTCAAACAGCCTTCTCGATAGATCCTCAAGCTCGCTTTCGACCATGTCTTTTGAATGCTGGATTTCGGCCACTCGTTCAATTTCATCTACATATTTGTCGTTCAGTAACTCCATATCATTCTGTAGAGCCTGGAAGTTGGCTGTCTGGTCGTCCAATTCGCTCATGACTTGCTCTAATCGGGTATTAAGCTGGCCTATTTTGACTAATTGTTCCTCAATGTTTTTTTGCTCTGTTTGCAGCTGCTCTTGTAGGACTTCAATCTCTTTCTCGTATTGCGCCTTCTCGGTCAAGAGCTCTTGGATGATTGGAATAGGGTTGCTACAGAGTGAGCACATGGTGATATCATCTTCTTTCAATATATGGTGGCATGGGCAGTCTGAATGATCCGTTTTCTCGACATGGCTATCAGTCTGCTGCTGCTGCTGCTGCTGCTGCTGCTGTAGTGGAGAAGGCTTTGCTTTGTTGGGTATAATAGGAGAGGAAGAGCTGGGAGATATTGGAAGAGAAGGTGGAAGTGGAATAAATTTAGCTTCGGAATTCGCATTGCTGTCGCCAAGTGCTTGTAAGCTGGTATAAAGATGAGCAATGTCCTTTTCTTGTCTTAATGGCTTGTCTGGTTGTGTTGGTTCCATGCAAAATGTGTTGATTGTTTAACCAAATGAGAGAAAGAGGGAAGAAAAGGGAAAAAAATTAAAAAAAGGGCTTTATTTCATGGCGAATACACGTGATATGTCTATCAGTTTAGATGGATGGAGGGGCAACTTCTCCTCTCCAAATCTCTTGAATCACTTTGCCATGCAAAATGTGTCTGTCTACGATGGCCGGCACATGGCATTGTCTCACGTTGCCATAGGCATGGCCCCCTAAACCTCGCTGATGGATGATAAGATTGCCTGCAAATTTATGGCCTATCAAATCCAGTTGAGACCTCTCCCCGTCTTCACAGACACATTGTACGTAGCTTACCTCCAAAGTGACTAGTGCCCCACACTTCTACTCTGTCCTGCAGACCCTTCTCTTGAATGACCCGATTGAATTCATCCACAATCATTGGGCCCATTTTCCCGCATCTCAGGTCTCGGCGAGCGTGTGTGCAAACAAGGACAACGGTATCGGCTTTGATGTCTTGCCAGCCTTCCAGAGGTGGTAATGAATTGTAAGGATTTTGCCATATGGATGTCAATGCACGATAGAACGACGAATCCTGATCAATCACACCATGCGTCGAGGACACGCCTTGAAAAACCTTGAATTCTGGAAACAGCATGACGTCGGGTTTGTTGGATACAGCAGGTCGCTCAGCAACAGTTGCCAATACACTCTTTTCACTAGGGACCTGAGGCCGATTCTCCTTGAGCCATTGATTTTCAGTTGTCAAGATGGATTGCATAATACCGGGAATCGCCTCCACTTTAGCACGGGTCCACTCCATGGCATCAGATCCAATGCAGCCTACTATATGGCGGATACCATCAGGCCTTGTCATGGGGTCTGTCATATCAATCTTCTTGCCCAGTACTGAAGGAAAAGGGTGGCTCTTGCAAGGCACAAATCCATTTTCTGCTTGCTTTGCTTCTACATCTGGACAACATGCCTCGAATCTGGAGAATGGAAACGGCTTCTTATCAAACGGAATCTGATGCGTAGTGGAATAGAGCCTTGAGATACATCTCTTTTTAGAGATGCTTGCTGTGATCGTGCGGAACATTGAATAGAAAGAAGATTGGTTACGATTGGAAAAAGGAAAAATCAAGGTCCTTTTTATAGTCCCCATCTCTCCTCCTCCTCCTCCACAGCGCGCTCGTTCGGAAGCAAAGGTGTCTATAAGATGCGCTTTCTCGGCCTACTATGATTGATTTCGATAGAGGAAACTTTATTAAAAAGTGTATAAGAAAGGAGATTATTTGAATCTGATGGTTGCGTAGTAGATGGACTGTACAGAAAGGTAATATAAGGTGTGAGTGTGTGCTACAATATGCGATTACTGTTGTTGTGCTTCGAATTTGATACGTGATTGAGCAAAGAGTAGTTCTTGTTGTCGCAGTAGCTCTTCTTCAGAAATGCCAGTATTTTCTAGTCTGGTGCTCTTCTTATCTCGGTCCTACAGCCATCTGTAAGCAAAACACACATAATACACAATATACACACACACACACACACACACACACACAAATATACCTTTTGCTGCTTTTTGTGCTCTTTGAACACTTCATCCACTTCTTCGACATACTCTTCAAAGCCAAGTGCTTGTAGTGCTGCAACCACATGCTCTCCTGCAATGGTCTTTTTGGTTTCCTTTTCGCAAATTTCATTTGCTTCGGATGCTATCAAATGAATGAACTCTGCACGGAAATGGTGATTTAGTCGTCTAGCTGATATGAACCACTCTATTGACTTACCAACACAGCAATCGATCAAAAGATCGCGTGTGTCTTTTGCGCATACAATGTCATCAGGCATCATTTCGTTTATCAGTTTCTGAACAGTAGCTAGCCATGGCAAGGAGATATTAGTACATTGTTGGCTCTTTTTTTTTTTCCTACGCTGTGCGGGTGTATTCACCTTTGGGAAGCGAGAGCTCATCATCGCCATTAGGCCCTGTGCGTTCGTTGTCACTCATGGTTTTATCAGGTTTGAGTTGAAGAAGAAGGGAAGGAAAAGAATGAAAAAATTCCCTCTAGTATAGCTAAATTAATCACTCACTTGACTTGATCAACAATGCCTCTTTTGGTGACTAAGAATCCGGTGGCTTTCTTTTTTATTCAAATGTATTTTTCCAATATCGACAATCGCTTGCTATCGTACTCTGCCTTCTCAAAGACACCCTCATTATAAAAAAAAAACGCGGGCTTGCTTCAGTAAAGCGTACATTGCACTCATATTTCCGGACATCTTGGTCTTGTGCGTTGATTTGGGAGGCATGGATACTTGCTTGATGTCTGTGGCCAAAAGGTCGGGTGCAGTACAGTGTGGTTGCCTTTTTCTGGATGGATTGAAGATGTCCTCAATAGGTAATAATCTCTACAAAGCAGCTTGACTCTGTCTATCATATTTGATCAGTTTGCATAGTGAACAAATTGCTGAATCAGCAATGTACCTTCCACTGTCTCATCTGCTGCCAGGTTCAAATCATAGGTCTGTCGCCAATCCTGCACCGCCCATGCTAGCGTATAATCCACACACATCAGCCGGATCTTGTTGTATAGTGCTGTCTTGTTTGTCTTGATGCCATTGGAGTCCAAGTAATGGACCATATCATTCAACACTTGTTTGTTGTATTTGAATTAGGCCTGATTGTCTTTAAGAGCCACATGTGTGGCATGTCTGTTGATTGAAAGCCACTCGAGCAGGATGGCATGAGCTGATTTTCCCTCCTAATCCTTAGTATTATACCACCAATGCATTTGGATGTTGAATGTCCTAATCTCCATATTTTCAGTTGTATTTATATTATTGAGATTGCTGATCGAACTGAATGTATCTCTTATTGAAATAGCTGTGATCATTTAGCGCTTGACATTTAGGATATCTAGAACATCTTGACAGAAGAGCAGGCTTTTCTGCTTGACTCATCGGTCGATGCACTGGGCCGTCTGGTAACCTGATCTTTTCCGTGTCCGTACACGAACGGCTTTTCTGACGCTACATCGTGCAATGTGATGACTTCTCCCTCTATGATTCAACCTCACAAAGACCATCATGAAATGACTGTGGTACAGCTGATCTCACCTGTCAATTCATCATGAAAATTTTGAGCTTGTTTACAAGCGGTATTCCAAACCATTTGATAAGGATGGAACACATATTCTCTCTCTCTCTCTCTCTCTCTCTCTCTCTTTCTTCATTATTTTCATCAACACGAGAAGTTTAACATGTCTGACGTGCCTGGCGTAGAACACAGAGATCCGCAATACTTTGGCTACTATGCCCAACTTCAGCATCAAGTGAGTGTCTTAAAATAGCCAAACGCGATTATGCTGACATGTCTGCTTTAGCAAAATATGCTGCAAGACACTGTTCGTACCTCTACGTACCGTTCTTCCATCTTGTTGAACGGGCCCAAGTCATTCAAAGACAAACTTGTTATGGATGTAGGCTCTGGCTCTGGTATTCTCTCCTATTTCGCAGTTCAAGCAGGAGCCAAGAAGGTGTATGCTGTGGAGGCATCGGGCATGGCTAAAAAGATGGAAAAGCTTGTCAAGGCTGCTGATGAAGGCAAAAATGCCTTTTTGAAGGACAAGATCCAGGTAGTGAATGGTATGTGTGCTAGATAATACATTTCATCCACATCGCACTCATACTATGGGGAGAATAGCCAAAATTGAAGAGCCTGATTTACCTATACCCAAAGTCGACACAATCATCTCAGAACCGATCGGCGTACTCTTGTTTCATGAGAGAATGGTAAGAAGAGCGGGCCTGTCAATGTGGAGAGGACATGTGTTAATTAGTGCTCTAGTTGGAGAGCTATGTCTATGCCAGAGACCACTACTTGAAGCCTGGAGGAGCATTGTTTCCCTCAAAAGGTAACATTTATCTTGCTCCATTTACTGATGCCACCTTGTGGAGTGAAACTATGAGCAAAGCTCGCTTCTGGTAGGTAGAATCACATAAAGAAAGAAGCATGGAATAACCAAGCAATCATTAGGGAGCAGCAATCATTTTATGGCATTGATTTGACTCCCCTGTACAAAGACGCTCGCGACGAAATGTTTGGCATGCCTGTGGTAGGTCATTTCGATCCTCGTAGCTTGATTACAACACCTTCGATTTTCGATACCTATGGTGTTGATTTCTCTACTGTCACTGTCAAAGAGTTGCAAGATATCACAATGCCATTCAGTTGGACCGCTCAGTATACAGGCTTGATGCATGGTGTTGCAGGCTGGTTTGATCTCGTATTTGCACCTCCTCCTTATGATCAACCCAATCCTGAGGATTTAGGCACCACGGTAGAGATGTCTACTGGACCTAGCGCTGAACGCACTCACTGGCAACAAGTGCGTTTCTTGTTCAAGGAACCTTTGGCTGTGAATGCCAATCAAAAGATCCGTGGCTGGATGCGCTGTATTGTGAATGACATGCGAAGCTATACTATCTATGTCGAAGTTACTGCCACGGATGGTGTTACATTGAGCGCCCCTGAAGCTGTCGACAAGGATGCTGCTTTTGCCGAGCCCAGTGAGGACAGACCCTTGGTGCGTCGCGGCGTGTGGGAACTTCATGAACAAACATACAACTACAATTACACACCTGGCATGATGCCTGATCACAAGCCTGAATACTCATGTCTTTATGAGCCTGAAACTCGCTTGGACAACCCGCTTTACCCTCAAAACCTGGATCTGAAGAGTATGAACGTCATGGATGATTACGAGGATTTTGTAAATTAGTGTTTGATATCTTATATGTGTATATGTATGCTTTCTTCCTTTTTTTTTTATTATAATACAATCTATTTTTCATTTGACGGGCTATTGTTACTACTCACCCGCTCAATGTTGAGCACTGTATCTGAATCTCGAAACTCGATTTTGGGTGTGTTTTGTCCACTACTCGCTGTGGTGCTTGGACCAGCTTCGTCCGTGTCGTAGTAGAAAAAGTTCTTTTGGTGTGCTAGATCACTTAATTCCACATCTTTCTGCTGCTGGGTACTCTTTGGCGTGTATGAATCCAGTTCCTTGGACAAACTGCCGCTGCCGCCGAGATCTTTATCTTGTCCATAGTTCAATATCACAGGTTCTTCCATGACAAATGCGCCACCCACTGTATTGCCGTTGCTCTTCTTTTTATGCGCACCACGAGACATCATTAAACGACGAAGGTTTTGTTTGAAGCCTTTACGATGAGCCGAACTCGTTCCTGTTGGCACTGTGTTGAGATGCAAGTCAATACCACTCGAATTTCTGTTCTGATTTCCTAGTGTGCCATTCACATGTTCATCCAGCTGTACTTCACGACCTTCACTGATGGCCTCCTCCTCTGCTTCTTCCAATCGACGTCTGTTTTCTTCTTCCATCTGTTGAATTTGAGCATGCTCTTCATCCATAGGCAAATAGCCATACGCACGCTCACCCATTTCAGCCCAATCAGTGCCAATAATTTCATCTTCATCAGCTAGTCTCAGCTTCAGAGATGGTATCTTGTTGAGAACAACCAGAATAATGTATGTTACCACGAACGACCAAGCAGACACGCTAACGATAGCTGCTAGCTGAACAGGCACTTGGATCCAGTTACCATCTAACCAGCCACCCTTAGGCATGGCAGCAGAGGCAGTACCCACAGGATACCCTAATGCAATCACCCACTGCTCAGCAAAGATACCAGTCAAAACCAAGCCGACCAAACCACCAATGTAATGCACAGCAAATACATCCAGGGCATCATCGAAACCAAGGCGATGCTTGTAGCGAATAATGATGTTTGAGATGATGGAACCAAGAGCACCAAATGCAAGTGAACTCGCTTCACTGACAAAACCTGAGCCTGGCGTAATCGTAGCTAATCCTGCAACAGCACCAGTACATAAGCCAATGATACTCCACTTGCGCGTATGTTGGTAGTCCATCAGTACCCAAACAACAGCAGCTGTACAACCTGATAGATGTGTGCAAACAAGAGAGTGGACACTGCGAGCATTTGCTCCAAGCGCGCTACCCGCGTTGAATCCTAGCCAGCCAAACCACATGAGTGCTAGGCCCAAGAATACAAAGGAAACATTATGAGGCACATTGACGTTTTCATGATAATCTCTACGTTTGCCAACAACCATAGCGTAGGCAACTGAAATCATGGTTAGTTACCGGTAACTAGATTGCAATGTACATGCTACTCACCTGCTGCTAAACCACTTGAAATATGAACAGGTGTACCTCTACATTAAAAAGCCAAAAATCAGCAAATGCTTTAACGATACGCGATGTTTGATCATACCCAGCATAATCCATGACACCCATCACTGCAAGCCAGCCTTTAGGATTCCAAACCCAATTCGTAATGATGTCTGAATACATGATTAGTTAACAGTAACTTTCATGTAGAGTAGATACATACCATATACTAGTGTTGTCCAGATAAAGATGAACAAAATGGCTGGACCCAACTATAGTTGCATATATAAGATAATTGTTTGTGTAAACCAAATACGTTTCAGGACTTACAGACATTCGTTCCGCGGCAGATCCAAAGGCCAACGCTATAATTAGGTTTTAATTTTAGTTTCTATATCAGGAGTCTAGTTGACACAAGGATTTTGAATACCTGGGGTGATGGCTGCAAACATGCATTGAAACAGCATGAAAGCAGATTCTGGAATCGTTTGTCCTGCAATCTGAGGCTGTCTACCCACGCCTCTCAGTAGAAAGTTTTCTACATGGAATGCTTTAGTAAAGAATAGGATTATGAATCATCAAATGTCATTACTGGTATCGCCAATAAAGGAGGATCCGGTATCGGAAAATGTGAGTGAATAACCAATCAAGTACCACTATAAGCATATGAAAAAAAATTAAATGATGGCAATGTGGACATCCCCATGCTGATATTTACTTGAAAGGAAACAACTGCCACCGACATAACTGTCAAGTACATGAGTGACAATGCGTTTTTGGCTCTGGCAAGTCCTGCATAAAAGAAGCCCAGTGCAGGTGACTGAGGGCAGATGTCAAAACTTGGCAAAATGGAATGTGGATGTTGCAAATTTACCATCAGAAAAACAAGCGTTGTGCAGATCATCACCCATCCAGTGTCGCCACTATTTGTGACATAGTCTAAGTCCATGCTGGGTGTTGTTGTTGTGTTTGCCGACATGATTGACTCAATACAAGTGAGAAGCGGCTAAGGATATGCTGAAACTGACTAGAACAAGAAAAAAAAGATTGCACGATCTTTTGTTATCTCGAGAATATAGATAAGGCGGGGTTTTGAGTCATTTTGCCTACAAGACCCGTCATGTAAAGAAGAGATTAAATCACAAATGTAACTTAATTGATGGGCGGTTTGATGGCATGGAATAAACAATGGCATCTTTTTTTATGGGCTATCAGAATTGAATCTATGGCAGCCAATATAAAGAATACAGCTATTATAAGTTTGCACATTACTATAGTTAAACGGTAACGATCGACAGCAACTTTTGCTGTTGAATGTAGTGATCTTGAATTTTAGATCTAAATATTGTTGACGATAATGATCAAATAAGCGTACTACTAATAGATTTCTGACGGTTACTCTTTGATAATGAACAAGCCATTTGAGACAATGAGTAGCTTATTTATACAAGCAAATGGTTCAATAGTAAACTGGAGATCTACATCTTAATTCAAAGCATTGCATGGCTGTACATTGTAGAATAAGAGATGTAGTAAAGGGTCACGTGACAGCAAAATCAAAAAATAGTTTAACATTTATTACTTTAATACTGAAATGCCATCCGAGGTTTCCATGGAGAAGTGGTTTAACTCGTCACTTTCACATAGTGAAGATCGCCGGTTCGAGCCCGGCTGGAAACACTCGTTTTTACACAATAGCGGAATTGTAGTGTATGTAGTCAATGCTATAATTTTCAATACATTTACAAATATATTTTGCATTTATCTCCTCTTTTTGTTTTGCTAATACTTTCTCTAGATATATTAATATCAGTGCTACTGCCAAATTGATGGTCGTCTGCCTTTACAGGCAAGTTGGTAGCAATAGGTATTACTTTGTGAAAAGATTTGGTAGAGATAATATAATAGTAGTAGTAATAATAAATTAGCCAAAAAAGCAGATCAACTAGGCGGCAGGTTTATAACTGCTCAATTAGAGTAGACAAATAAACGAAAGAATTACTTATAATGTGAGAAATATTATAATATACGAGCCTTTCGACACTTTAGGCGGCTTCCCGGCTTACGCTTCGCTTCGGTGGTGGTGGTAACCAACGTGTTTGTAATGAAATAGCCACCCAAACGCAACTTAATTGAAAACCAAAGTTCATCAAATAGCACTCATTCAAATTCATGCTATTTGGATCTATTAATGAAAGCGCTCAAATGTACATCAAAAACCCATTTAAAAATACTAAAGTAAAGATACACGCTTATATCGCACATCGTGTGAATGAATCACTCCTGATCACAGTGTATTCAATCACACCCATGATGGTCGTAATAGGTGATGGTATCTTTATCCAAATAGAATTAAATTAATAACAAGCATATTCAAATATGACAACTATGTCCTGCTGCCATAGTTGCACAATATCCCAGATAAAGGATTCCATGCTTCAATAACAAACATCACACTTTAAACCATCAAGGTTACATTAAATCATGCTATGACGATAGCTCACCCAAGTCCATCAAGGTTACTCAAATCGACCCTTATGGCCAGTGCTCCTGCATTGACTACCACTTTAAATCAAACATCAACAACATTTGCCAGATATCGCAATAGCAGCACCTATTGCTCTCTATCATCACTAATCCTACAAGCTAGTTGCAAATGTATAAATACTCTTCTTTTTTTTACTCAATTCCAGGATCTTCAGTTCATTTTATACACAAAATAAAATACAGTTGATTTCTATTGTATTTTACCTTTGCTTTATTTTTTTTGTGAAATCTATTTAAACCTGATTTCACTGCAGTGTTGTGCCAGAAGGGCTACAACTGTCTATAAAGATTAAGGTATTCTTGATGGGTAGATATGTCTGTGTTGTGCAACAACATGGACTAGCTATGATAATTGAAGTGCATCTCAGCTATCTAAATACTGAGGTTCACCAGATGTGATAAGCGTTGTACAAGATACATTGCTACTTTGGCATTCAGAACTTAGTATAAATAGAATAACTCTTGTCTTCATCAATAAATCTTTAGTTTTTGTGTCTGATCTTATTCTAATAAGTCTTTTCTTGTTTTTGTGATATCAATCCTTTTTTATAAGCTACAAATTATAGTCCTTTTATTCTTTGTGCTGAACAATATCAATCTCGTTTAATCAGAGCAAGTCTAAATTCAAAGTCGCATAACATTATTGACGCTCAAGTGCCAAGGTTACTGTAATTGCGCATTTCAAAAAGCAAGGTCTGGGCCTTGGAACTGGAATAAAAGCAATTATTACTTTAAAATTGAGTTCTGTACAATGCAGAACATCTGGGCCATCAGACAAAAGTGTAATTGACTTACTCTTCTAGCAATGCAACCCATTACGCTTTCGTTTTAGGCCGAATTCTGTTCAAATCTAGCCATTTCCAAGCTCGAATATCTCATACCACAAAGCGTTTTGAGCGCTTGAAATAGCTTCACACGCCTTCTCTTGGCTACTGATTTATCAGAAATAAATTATTTATAAAAAGGAGTATGAAATTAATCAGGTAAAGAATATCGTTTATTACATTGAAAATAAGAGGGTTTATATACTATTCGAATTGAGGGATTTGATGTGAGGATAAGGTATTAGATGGGTTGATTTGGGTGATAGGATAATAGATCCAATCTATTATCCTGAACATGCCATGATATGGATCGTAACTGAATCCTGTTTCATGTCAAAGTTTATGATCTGATGTGATCGGTGCTTGAACTGCTTGTTTCTACGCATTTGGAGATCCGGTTTAGAAATGATACATCAGTATGAATCTTATAGTACTAGCGTATCTGAAGTCCATATCTTCTTATAGTATAAATCGATATCGTACTACTGTACATCTAATCCGGTGTACATAGAGTTTATATCTAAATCTGGTAACTGGATGAACTGTCGGAATGCAGAAAATAGTGGATGTGTTCCACGATTTCGGTGAGACTAACTCATGTAAGCTTTGATGCGTTATTATGTTGTCGGTAAGCCTGATAATGGTAATGGAAATGAGAAAGCGAATATGGTGTTTAGAATAACGAAATATAGACAGAGTAAATACAATTAGAACTGAATATATTTATTATGTTATTCCAAGATTGAATAGGGATTAAAACTAGTGTAGATATCAAAGGTATTTATAGTTATTTGACAGTGCCGCAGCAATAGGGCCTTGATCTTGAATGCGGGATAATTGCATAAGCCTTGAACCAGTAGCGAGGATGTGCTGCATCAGAACTCATGAACCACCAGTCAAGGATAAACAACAAAGATGATCCAGGATAGAATGTTCTTCCTAATGGCTTTGACGGAAGAACATTTGTCGGAATTGAAACCCACTTCCAGGGACGAAAGGCCATAGGCTACCACTCTCTAGGAACTAGGATATAGATTAGCCATTTGATGGCACCACTCATGTTCCTTCGTGCTGCTTGAATAAAGACCTCTCACTTCTACTATGCATCTCAGCTCATTCTCAGATCCTCTTATGTAATATACAACGCCTAATACATTTGCCTCTCAGAGATGATCTATATCCTAAACAGTCGGTAAGCCTGATAATGGTAATGGAAATGAGAAAGCGAATATGGTATTTAAACACTAAGGCTTTACATTTTGGCTTCGCTACGGTAAAACCACCTTTAAAATCGCTGTTATCAAGTATTGGGCTAGATGCTTGAATACTATTTTGGTATTGCACCTTCGCCTCCCTATGATAAAATCCTTATATAAATTAATGCTAACAAAAGTTGGATTAAATGCTTGATTGTCATGGCCATTCGCCTTCGTTTGACTACGGTATAACCCCCTCAAGGCCGATAATACCAACAAGTGTTGCCTTGAAACAACATATCACGCAATTCATAGCCAAATAGCAAACAAGAAATCACTTGATCAGATACGCTATGTTCTGGGAAGAAGAGCCTTTAATCTCTGATTAACTGCGATGGCGCTTTTGTGTTCATATTTTCCAGTATCCGATATATGAAACCTCCGTGGTGCTATACCATACCATGGCCTAGAGCTTACCTTGATAGTAGTTGAATGCACGTTTATACAGTACAACTCCAAAAGAATTCACTCTGAATTTGCTAGTCAGCAACCAGCAATACTTTATTACCGGAATAATTTAAAGAACCTTCTGCCATTACATTTTAACTAAATTATTTTCCGTTATTGGGAATAGTCAAGTCGATCAAATCAATTTCAAACTTTTCAATTCATTACATTCTTACCCATGAAAATGTGATATACTTAAAAAAAACCACAATTTGACAATATTAAGATTTTCTCACCATATATAAGGGTTCAATGTTAGTTAAATGTCAGACGTGAGACCATCAGCGTCTTTATATAAAGAAGTGTGGCCCAGACGTGAGCTTTCGGCGTCAGTATAAAAGAAGCAAGCACCCCCCCTTTTTTTTTTCATTGTCAGGTGTCAGGTACACACAGACTTTGTGTGTAATTTTTTTTTTAATTTAGTGTAAATATCAACTTAGTTTGCAAAACAATAAAGATCATCTTACATCTCAATTCTATTCTTTTATATACATTTATCTAAGTCTACTCTAAAACTATACCTATACACACGACACAGGTGCACACAGACTTTGTTAGTAACTTTTATAGTTAATATGAATATCAAAAATAACCTTTATTATTTTTTTTTCTCACTTATACTGCTGAGACATATACATTTATCTAAATCTGTTACTTATACTCACAACACCATTAAATAACAAACACTTTGTAACATTCTATGCGGAAACTTTTTGATAATTTTACATTTATCTGCCAGTAACTTTTAAACGAATCAGCTCTAGTACATTGTTATGTCAAAATACAATGTAAAATTGAATCTGCCAAAGAATTACACTTTTATTGAGAATGCATCCCAAGGATGCATTTATATACTTTTCATTATGCTAGGGTTTACATCATGATGATGAACTATAATACAAATA